GACAAAGAGGTATTTTAAAGCAGTGTAAATCAGAAGGCGGGGGATGTGTTAAAACCAAGAGCAGTTCTTTCCCTCTCCTTCACCTGAAGATGAATGTAGTAGAGAAGCAGTGAAGCAGGCCCAGCTGCGCCTCAGAACTTCAGGCCTTTTCTGCATGGGCCGGGCTGCTGTACCGCAGCTGCTATCTGTGGGCTTCCCTGCCAGCAGCTCTGAGTCTTGCCCTCCACCAAGGTCTAACCGGAAGAAATAGGCTGACAGTTTAGGTGGAGTCTGCCTTGGCTCCAGCTCCCTGATGTCTCCACCCTTGTCCCTGCCCTGAACAGACCCTGGTGACCTATCTGTGCATCTTTATGAAACAGTCCTCTAGGAAAGTAACTGCTTTCAACAAGAGCTCCCAGCCAGCTAGTCTAAGTCAGGGGTTTTCAACCAGAGGTGATTTCTTCTGGCCAAGGGAGCACTGGCACTATCTGCACACTGCTGGCTATCGTGTCTCTGGCATGCAGTGGCTGGAAGCCAGGGTTAGCAACATACAATGCACAGCAAAGCCAGAAAAGATTTGTTGGTTTCAAATGTCAAAAGAGCCACTGCTGAGAAACACTGGTGTAGATCACATACCCATAAATAATAAAAGTTCACCCATAACTTAAAGGTACAAAGGAGATTTATATTTATGCCAAAGGTTTCATGACAGAAGCCCTTACAAATATAGTTTTACTTTACTGAGGTATTCTGAATACTAAACACAGACAATTTGTTCTCAGTTACAAGTTAGAGCAAATTTTGTTAATTTATGATCTGGTATGTTGGAGTTAAAAGAGCAACTAAAATCACTTAAATAAGCTGGACCTGCTGGCACAGGCTTGTAATCCCAGCACTCTGGGAGGCTGTGGCAGGAGGATGGCAAGTTCAAGCCCAACCTGGACAGGTTAGTATACTTAGCAAGGCCAAAATAAAACATAAAAAGGGCTGAGGAGTTAGCTTAGTGCAAAGGCCCTAGAAAAAGCACTTAATTAAATTCAAACAAGACAGCTCAAAAAATTTTATTCTATATAAAATCAGACCAGTGGTGTTTTTCTAGTAATTTAAAATAATTAGTTAGCAAGGTGAGGCTGGTGATAAACAAAGCTAACTCTATCTATCCTGAACCTGAGTTGACAGGCACATGTAAAATTGTCACCTCAAATCAGCAAGACAGCCCAAAACCCAATCTGAGGCTCCTGCCAACTGAGATTTCAATTACGCTATTTCTTCATACTACTAAGATCAGGTGGTTTCAAGAAATGCCAACTTACTGAAACTCAGGGTCAAAGTATGGTATAAAATAAGAGTTCCCAAACTACTGCCTGTAGCCAACTGTTTTTTAGTCTTGCTGAACCACGGCCACATCCACTCATTTACATACTGTCTAAAGCTTCCATAAAGACAATAGAGTGAGTGGTTCCAACAGAGATCATCTAGTAGCATAGCCTGCAACATTTGTTATCTGCACCTTTACAGAAAGTTCACTGACTGCTAGTACAGGGGGAAAAAATTACAATACTAGGTGTTAGGAGGTTATTTTCAAGTTGCAGTGCCGCCACTGGTTATAGTAATACAACTTGGATGAACAATTAACTTCCTGTTTGAGTCTTATCTATAAAATTAAAGGATTAAACCAATGGTCTGTACTACATCCAGATGACTAAATCCAGCCTGTGGCCTATTTATGTATGGCCTTCAAGTTAAGTTTTTAATACAATTTTAAAAGTTGTTTAAAAATATTCACACAAAATATGTAAGTAGAAACTGTAGGTATGCAGCGCACAAAGCCTAAAATATTTCTCATTTTGTCCTTTAGAGTTTGTGCTGACACCTGTATTGGATCAAAGCTATCCAACCTGTTGACACCTTAGAGGTGGTGAAATTGACCACAGGCACAGAGCCTGTCAGTGATACAACTGGAATGAGGACCCAGATCCTCTAAATCCTAGGCTTTGGCTCTAAGACCACTTCACACCACATTCTAGTCCCAGACAAAGCAGTTTAGAATCCATACCTAAAGTCTGTACTCACACAGTAGGGCTCTGGCTGCACACTGTGTCCACCCTTATCCAGTCCTCTGCCACCTCTGACTTATACCAAAGGCCTCGTAACTGAGCTCCCTACTTCCCTTTGGGCAGCAACTGGATACGGACCTCATCTTCATTCCTGTGTTTAAAACTCTTCATATGTAACTAATTCATTTCCCTTCAAGGTATTCAGAACCATGTACATTAAGCCTACTTTTCCTTAGATCATTGCTTTACCTAGAATGCATAGCTTCTGATATGCAGGATTTCTCCTTAGTACTTGCTAAAACTTCAGTTCAGATTTCCTTCTCGACCCACGATTTATTTTTATGTTGTTTTATAAATTTACAAACAGATATATCTGTGTTATTAATTTCTAGTTTTTAAAAGATAAGAGTATAATGTATGCTACCTTTTTTTTTTTTTGGTACCGAGGATCGAACTCGGGTCCTTGCACTTGTGCAGCAGGCAGCAAAAACACTGAGCTAAATCCCTGGCCCTATGCTACCATTTTTTTAAAAAACAGTCTCAATATACTTTGGTTCGTCCATTTGAACTGCTATAAAAGTGCATTCAACTTTACTTGCGCACTTCTATGAGAATACATACATCACTCCTCCTAACATACAATTAAAAGCAGAAAGCAATAGCATCTATTTGCAAATCTACTATACTGTTAAGAGTAATTAAAGTGAACATAATAGAATTGACTCACCATTGGTTTGCCATAAAATGGGAATCCTTGTAACTGTCTTAAAGCATTTGTGGATGAACCCAGTTCTTTAAATATAACAAAGGCCTGGCCTCGCATCTTCATAGTCTTTAAAGCCACAATATCTACCACATGCCCAAACTGAGAAAACAGTGCATATAGGGATCGCTTCAATTCTGATCAAAGAGGGAAAAAAAGTTATTTGACAATGAAACAGTGATAAAATTCTTCACAAAATAAAATTCTGAATGCTCTATTTGAAACCATTATGAGTAAAAAGATTAAACACAATCTCCCCATTTTTATTTTTAAAAAGCTTCAAATTCCTTACACCAAATGGAATGAAAAGGATAACCACGTGACAAGTTGTGTGGTATAGTTCTTTAGGAAGTAGTAAAAAACATTTTAGCTGTGAACAAATATTTTTAAAAGTATGTACCTTCTTTTTTAATTTTGTCATTCATATTGTTGATATAAATTGTATGATTTGGTCTAATATCCATGTTTGGTTAACAGAAACTGTATGCAGCCCAGGAAGCCTAAGATTATTTCTTCAAATAACCTAAATAGACAATAAATAAATAATCTGTTATTAAAAGCAAGGGTTAAATCATACTGTAATATGGCATAAAGACATAACACAAACATTATTAATTTTTCAAAATTCTTTCAATCCTGAATGTCAGAAAGCATCAGCCGTCGGTAACTTTAATTCCTCCCTAGCATTTGCTAGCCCTTCTTTTTAGATTGAAGGCTCAAAACATGGTAGAACACCAATCACTACATAGACAGATTTTAGTAACATCAATACATCTGAAGTAATAAATACCTTTATACTGGCCTTCCAGTTATAACAAATGATACTGTCTTCTCATCTCCCTAATGAAATCTTTTTCAATGAAATAATTTAAAAAATCAACACATGATGACAAATGAAAAAGAAACCAGCAAACATACATCAAGTAAATTCTGACAGACTATTAATGAAGTCTGCAGAGTACTTCATGGCTACACTTACCAAACACTTTCACATCTATTTCTCAATTTGTATGCATCATCACCAAAGCTGTGTGATGGTTAAGAGCGCGGATTGTAGTACCAACCATATCTGAATTCAAACCCTGCTTATGCTTCTTATGAGTCGTCTCACTGAAGGCCAGTTCTTTAATCACTCAGGTCCTCAAGGGAATAGCAACAGCATCTACCCCGTATAACTCACTAAGATTCATGAGAAAAAGACCTGACAGTTCTTGCATGATCAATAAGTACCTAAGGTAGCTATGATGAATGGCTATTACAAGTTAAGGGACTAGTCTAAGGTGACACTGCCAGTAAGCAACAGGCCTGGGAATTCAGCCCTCCAATTTTCTTCTGAACATTTCTCTCACATTCACTGCACTATTTTCATATTTTACATTGTTTTGAATTCATATTTACATTGAACCTTTCATATTTTACTTTTTTGCTGCAAACTGTTCAGTTTGCTTATTCCCTTGGTGCCTCACGTATTCTTTCAGCTCAGAAATACTTACAAAATGCACCCACTGCACGTGAACAGCACAGGACAACTAGTAAGCGAAAGCCTACTAATAGTGTCTGTGCTTGCATGAGTATCATGAAAGGTAGGGCTTCCTGAAGGCTTGTAAATTCCTAAATTGAAACCTGGAGGAGAGCTGGCGTCACAAAGTAGACAACTAGAATGAAGTGACAGATCTGAGGTTGGGGAACTCAGAGGGGCCTGGGGAACGGCTGGCTGGATGAGGACAGTTACCTGCAGGCGGCCCCTAGCAAAACCCTAAAGGGAGCCGCCGGAAGGGACCCGAAAGCTAAGCAAGCCGTCAACGACACAAGCAGAGGTCTTAATCATCCTTTGACTCGTAAGCACAAGCTCCCAGTCCAGAAGCCCAAGGGGCTGCCCCGCTACCTCCAAACAGCTCCACTAAAAGTTCGGGCGCCTCGCCAGGCCAGCGTACCAGACTCCATCCTTTTCCCGCCCCCAAGCGGACTCGGGGCCAGACGCGTCCGACCCAACCCCATCTTTGCGCCTGTTCTGTTCCAAACTCCAACGGCTGAGGGTCGGGCTGAGCAGCCCCGGGCACCCTAACAGCCAGGTACAGGGCCAGCCAACCCACCCGAGGCCTTCACCACCTTCCGTAAGAACCGCGAGCCGGAAATGGAGCAGGCACCGGAAGTAAAGCTACCGCGCTCCTTAATCGAGCGCCGGCAAGTTGAGAAGTCGAGCGCCGAGTAAATCGATGACTCCTCACCTGACAGCCGCAGCTCAAACTCTCTCTGCGCGTGCGCTTACTGGTGGGCTGGAGGAAGTGGCAGAGCGAGGGCGGGGGGAAGTGGCTGGAAAGGCAACTAGCGAAGGAAAGGAAGAACCATGTGCTGAAAGTAAGAACCTGGGGACAAGTCATACTGTGAGGGAAAAGAGAAGGGGAGTGACTCATTTCCATTACCACGACTTTAACAGTTTTACTGCTGGCAACGGTGTCTTCCATCTCTCTAAATCCTATATGATCATCTTTTGTTTTTATTTTTGCCGTACTGAGGATTGAACTCAGGGCCTTTACAGAGTGCTAGTTCCCTAGCTTATTTTTCTTTTTTTGTTTGTTTTGAAACAGGGTCTCCCTAAATTTCCTGGGCAGGGCTCAAATTTGCAGTCCTACTACCTCAGCCTCCCCAAGTAGTGGGATCATAGGTTTGTGCCACTAGGCCCAGCTCGAAATCCCATATATATATGTATATTTGAAACCTATGATTTCTATACAGTTTTTTCTTTCAGGTCTTTCTGCCTGACATATTTTTTTCTTTTTTTTTTTGTTAAGTTTTTGGGTACAGTTTAGGTGTACAATATGATGACATTCATCATTCGGATTTTGTATCTTTACATGATAAATCTTGGTTCTTATTTTTTTCTCCATTCCCCTGCCCTCCCTTCAACCCCTCCACCCCTCCCTATTTACAAAGACTTTGTTTCCGTTTTTTCCTTTTCTTAAATCCTATATAATTTTACAGCAGTTCCTCACTTTGATGTTGTGGGGAGGTGGCCTCCAGTTTGATACCATCTTTAGGACAGTCAGTGTCCTTCCAGCCAAGTCTCCTCTGACTCCTGGGATTCAGGTTGCTCTCCTCCAGCAATCTGAGGCTCTATTTGAATCTCAAGCAGTCCAGTTTGAGGCCCCGGAGAAAGAGAATTGGTGTCAGTGCCCGATTCTCTCACCAGGTAAGGCAACTGTCCTCTGCTTCAGGAGTATCCAGTCACTCTAAGGTCATGGGCCTAACTCACTCAGAAAACACCGACTCCCTACTACCTTCCCACTCCCCTCCCCACAAAATTAATAATCAAAGGAGTTAGTGTTTATATCAAAATGAGGGAGAATTCCTAAAAGTGCACATTTGTCCACTTATCCCTTCATCAGATGTGTGCAAGGCATATTGATTTTTAAGAGCCAGAGGAAAGCTAATCTAGGTCTTCTCCTTAGCTAATCTCTCTGACCTCCACTTTCCTCATCTGTGAAATAGGCATCTTAGTAGTGCCTCCTAGCTATTGGGGGAATCACAGGAGCTGACTAAAGAGTTAGCACAACACCAGACACAAAATATATGGTTCACAAATGTTATTTCTGAATGCTAGCTCTGACTTGGACATACAGATAAAGGATAAAGGGGGCTAGGGACCAAACAGGTTGGTTTTATTGGCTGGAGACTTTTATTATAAAAGCCTAAAATTTGCAACTTGAAAATTATGTCTTGAGGGTGGGAATTTTTGTCTGCTTTGTTCGTTCGAGTACCCTCAGTAATTAGAAAAATGACTCATAAATATATATTAGATGAATGACAATATATATATATTGAATGAATGGAAAATTAGGCAGTACTTAAGTAAATATGCTCTTAGGAAGATGGATATAAGTGTTGGAAATAAAGTTAAATGATTTACAAAAAACATCCTTATATAGGTATAAAAACCAGAAGGAATGTAAATAGTCCTATCTTAAAGAATTGAGTGTATCCTTAACAATTCAAAAGAGAAAATAAATATGAAATAATTTCTAAATAACAAAGTACAAGCTGTCCTTCAGTATGGACATCTGAGCAATGAGTTAATTCTTTTTGATATTAATGAAAATGACTAAAAATTTTCTGGAAATAGGTTACCATCTGACAGTATTACATAGATGGATCTGGCCAAGAGTTCATAACTGTTAGAAGAGGATGAGATACTGTACATCCATGCAGCAATACTTCAGCTGCAGAGGAAAACACCATGGGAACTGCAGAGACTGAAGAGAGACCACATCCTGTTCCATGAACGACTAAGTTATGGTTCTTGCACTTTACACTGTGAGAAGGAAGTCACCCACTGCCAACTCAGTGGCGGTGGTCTGCATGCTACATGCTGCTCTCTGGGTTCTAAAAAGAGCCAGTGCATTTTCCTGTCCTTGGGTAGTCACCCTGGGCTGTCTGATAATCTGTCAATGGTCCTCCTGTGGTAGGAGGCCAGGGCAAGGCAAGGTGGCTGGAGCAGTGGGTGTATGTTGCTTTTTGAGAAGACTTAATAACCATGGGCACAGAGCTTCAGCGCCCAAGCCTGACACAGGATCAAGCTGAGCCCTGTACCTGGTACCAGTCTTCTGACATGAGAACAGGCTGAACCTGGAACCTGATATCAATCTTGTAGCAGGAGATCAAATTTGACTACCTGGATCAACTATCAAAGAAAACATAAAACAACAGTAGCAATCGACATTTGGAGCCATTGCCCTCTTGTTCTTGCAGTGGTCCATTCTGCTTGCAGGACTCATCTTCTTTCTTTTTTTCAAAGCACCCTTTTCTCCTGTAGCACTTCCTTTGTGCTTCTTCTTTTTCTTTTCATTTTCTTATTTCAACCCTAACATAAGCATAATCTTTCACATCTACCAATTGTCCTGAACAATTCATTGATCAGGACAAATAACCTAGAAAACAGTGCTGGTCCCTACCGCATCTGGTAACACACTGTGGGGTTCTGAATGATTTAGAGAAACCAGTAATTGAAACTGGGGCTGGAAGGGAATGAAGGGAGAGAAGAGCTTATCAGATCTTGTGAGAAGCTATAGTTGTAGAGAACTATATAGTCTTAAGAAGCCTTACAGCATACAAACTCGTCACTGGTACTGTAAAACAACTAGCATTCCCCTATAACCAGATTCTGTATAGTCTCTGACCTCTAGCTGGTCAAACCCAGCCAAAAACTCACATTTTAAAACATGATAGAAGAGGAAATGTGTTTCCCTGAAGTTCTATTCAGTTTACTTCCGTTAGGTAACGTGATTTACATTCCTATGAAACAAGTATTTTTTTATCGAACTAAACTGAGAGCATAGCTGTAACTATTGTATCCAAGCCTTATTTATCTCCTGATGATACAATTTGCTTATTTTAGGGGCAACAGAAAAATTACTGCAAGCACTTGGGAATAAAACTGTGTCAAGACGTCTACATTATATGGATGATAACTGAGGTGTCTCTTAGTGCTTCCGAATACACATATATTTTCCTATCTTATCTACATGTGTTTTATGTTCCTCAATAAATGCTTTCAATATCTTGCTGCAATAGTTTTGAGAGGGAGTCATGTATAAATGAAAACACATCATAAAACCATGGTGGACATATTTTGTCTAATTTATGTTAGAACCACAAAATGTATGGCAATTTGTTTGTATTTCTTTCTCTCCCCGGGTGGTGATTACATTAAGAAATTTATGTAGAGTGAAATTATTTTAACTATAAGCATTAAATAATTCTAAGCATTATTGTTGAACTCCAAATCAGGTTGGCATTTTCTCAGGTGGTAGGAATTATGTTGCTTAGCCTTCCTAAAAAGCAGCCCTCTCACCCCCAATCAGGAAGGAAATAATTTTGTGCAGTAATTTCCTTTTATTTACTTTAGCCTACTTTATTCTTTGTGAACATATTTATTTCAGAGACAAAAAATAATTCAGAAATTACTATTACCTCTGAGGCATACTACTGTGTAAATGTTAATAGTAAAGTGTCATTAGTGTACACCAATATCATACCCTCAGGTTTGGTAGAATCTGAGATAGACTATGATTATGTATGCAATCCATAAAGTTTGGAAGAAGTTTGCCTTTGAAAGCCTGATAACTGAGCCAAAGAAGTGTGAAAGAAAACCAGAATTTCATACAGCTCAGTATTGTGAGACGTGTAAGTTCTGCTCAATATAACATTGTCCTCTCTGGAAATCAGCTAAAATAACATCACACACCTGCCATTCCCCTAGGAGACTAGAAAAATAAGATCCCAGTCCCAGGAGACCCACCTAACAGGCAAAATGTTATGCAGATGAAATTCTTAAGTACAGCAGGTTTTGCTTCTATAATTCACCACTGTAAATTCTTTTTAAGCTTTAATCTCTAGGATATTTGAAAATTCAAATTTAAAAAAGAAAACTTTCTAAGACTATTGGGTCCCCTTTGTGTAATTTCAAGCATAACATCACTGACATCATGGGCGTATCCCAGAAGTCCTAATCCAGTGCTTCTCAGATGTAAATGTACATTCAGTTCATCTGGAAATTTTGTTAAAATTTTGACTTCTTGGGCCTAGGATGAGACCTGAGAAGCTGCATTTATAACAAGTTGTCAGGTAATGCTGATGCTGCAGGCCCTTCACATTTTTGGTACCAAGACCCTCAGCATTTCCAGGCAGAAAGAAGGATCATAAATTTGAGGCCAGCATGGGCGATTTAGCAAGATCCTAGGGGTGGAGATGTAGTTCAGTGGTAGAACACTTGCCTAGCATGTGCAAGATCCTAAGTTCAATTCGCAGTAACTTCAAAAAATATTTGAATATAGGGTAGATTATCTCAGTATTGCATAATTAGCCATACAGCCAAAGAGATACTGTAAGATTCTGAATAGTTATCTTAGCCAATTTTCTGTTACTAAAACAAAATTCCTGAGATCAAGTCTTTTATAAAGAAGAGAAACATATTTGGCTCACTGTTCTGGAGCCTGGTAGCTCCAGGAACACGGCATAGGTATCTGTCCACATGTGGTATCTTCTTGCTACATCACAACAGGACAGAAAGAAACAGCTGGTGAGCCAGAGCTAGTGAACCAGAGAGAGCTCACCTTTACAACAGAGCCACTGTCATGATAACCCATTAATCCATTGATCCATAGATTGATCCATAACCTCTAAATCATGGTCTTTCCACAGGACATTGGACCAAGGTTCCACATGAGTTTTGGAAGGGACAAGCCACATCCAAACCTTACCAGTCATATTCTTAAGCAAACAGAAATCAACTGTTTATTTCAAAGGAGATGCTTTTTGTCTGATAGTTTCCTTTAACTGTCTTCACTGGGCATTTGGAAATATTAAATAAAAGTAAGTCTAGAATTTTTGTTCCTCTTTAATAAGCAATTGCTTGTTTGTGAGGTCCTGCATCACTTTCTAATTCATGACAGTCATCAGAGCTGTGTGAAAATCTTCCTATTATCTTTTTCCAGGTTCATGAAACACCTGCACTACTCTACCATCTGAAAATTGGCCTTGCTCTGTCCTTTTTGTTGCTAATGAAGTGTGAGGACAAGAGGTCTATAACACTTTCAGACAGAAATAGTAAGAGCCAGTGTATGATTTACCAGCTACCCCCTTTCCTGTATTTGTGATCTTGGAAACATCCCAAAATGGAACCTATGTCAAGCTTAGGACTCTGAGTGATAGCTAAAATGATGGGCCATCCTCCCTCTCTTGTGCCCCCAAACACACCAGGTCCAATTGGTCATATAACATAAGAAATAATTAACTAAGATCTGTTAATCCAGCATAGCCTCCCCCATTCTGACATCATGCATTGATTGAAACTACCTCTGAAAAATCTTAGATACTGCGAGAGGTGTTGCGGTGGTGGTGGTAGTTGTTTGAGACAGGGTCTCACAATGTGGCTCAGGTTTTCCTTGACCTTGATACATAGCTCAAGCTAACCTTGAACTCATGATCCTCCGTCCTCAGCCTCCAAAGTGGTGGGATTGCAGGATGCACTACTGCACTTGAAAAGTTACAGTAAAGAGTTTTATACAAGGTGTTTCACAACTATAAGCTGTTTTTGAGTACAAAAGAAGTTCTGTATTTGAGATGACTAATATCTTTTAAAGGTAAAATCAAAGTAATTTATTTTTTAGTGACATTTACTGAATAATGTCTGTGTGTGTGTGTGTGTGTGTGTGTGTGTGTGTGTGGTTCTGGGGATTAAACCCAGGGTCTTCACCTTGATCTACATCCCCTGACCTTTTTGTTTTTTATTTTGAGACAAGGTCTCCCTAAGTTACTAAGTTGCCCAGGCTGAGCTCAAACTTGCTCTCCTTCTGCCTCAACCTCACAAAGTACTGGTATTGCAGTCATGTGCCACCATGCCTGATTTATTGAATAATTTAATCCCCTATTTATTGAGCCTATGGAGATGATTATTCACTTAGGATGGGACCATTTATCGATGAATTTATTGTCAGTTGACACTATTGTAAGTAAGTATGAATTTAATACATATAACTTCCTAAATATCGTACTTTAGCTTGGCCTAACAAATAGACTCCGAACACTTACCTATATCTACTCTACAATTGGGCAAAATTGTAATATGGTTTTGAATCTGTCATGTATTTTATTTGAATAGTGCGCTGAAAGTGAAAAACAGACTGGTTGTATGGCTACTTTCTTTTATTGTAAAGTTGAACAATCATAGGTGGGAAACCATCGTATAAGATGGCAGGGTTAGGAAGTACATTAGATTACTTCCCCACCAACAGTGGAGAAGAGTTCCTTTTTCCCCACAGCCTCGCCAATGTGTGCTATTGTTTGATTTCTTGATGATAACCATTTTTTCTCGAGTAAGGTAGAATCCCTATGTTGTTTTAATTTGCATTTCTCTAATGGCCAGATATGTTGAACATTTTTTCCATGTATTTATTGGACATTGGTATTTCTTCTGAAAAGTGTCTGTTCATTTCACTTGCCTATTGTTTGATTGGCTCTTTTATTCCTCAAAAAATTAAAACTAGAAATTCTGTTTGGCCCAACTATTCCCCTCTAGGGATCTTCCCCAAAGAGTTAACGATGTCATATCACAGCTATACAGGTTTATCCATGTTTATAGCAGCACAACATATGATACCTAAATTTTGGAAGGGCCTACCTGTCCATCAACAGATGAATGGATAAAATAAATGTGGTATTTATACATGATAGAGTACTACTCTGCCATAAAGAAGGATAAACTTGAGTCATTTGTAGTGCATGCACCTTGAGACTATAATGTTGCGTGAAATCAGTTGGACATACAAGCTTAAATATCACATGGTTTCTCTTATGTGAGAAACTCAAGATATAAACAAAGAGCAAAATAAAAGATAATAGGAAACAGGGAGATAGATCTTTTGCAAAAGGGAAGGGGACCAAGAGATGGAGGGAAGGAGGAGCTAAGGGAGAAGAAGGGAAGAGAATAAAAAATTAGATGTATTATATACATACACAAGCTCCCCATGATGAATGTAATCATTATGTACTGCAAACATGCACTAAATTGTTTTTAAAAGAAAATTTATTAGGGCTGATCTAAGTGGAGACTTGATGGTTGGTAATATTTTCACAAATTAAGAAATGAGTTCTGAAGAAAGAAAAAGATATCACATTCACAGTCTAATTTTGGGTCAGTCAGAATCATCTTACAAGAAAAGACCAGGACATGTATGAAACATTTCAGGCAAGATTTAACCTCAAGAGACAGGCTGGATTCTTGTCACAAAGGAGTTGAATGAAAAATTTTGATGCCTCTAGTTTGAATTGCAGATTATGTTCGGACAAGACAACCCTGAAAATTATTTCTGTCTAGGAAATCCAAAACAATTATGTAAATGAGACTGATACTTCCCATTCTATTTTGTTTAAGGTGAATATGGGACAGTTTAACTATTGTAAATTTTTATAATATCCAGTGGCAGAAACATTACATGGGCTAATGAGTTCATAAAAGTAGATGGTGAAAAACAAGAAATGCTGTTGTTTCTTATTGATATTGGACAATCTTCCTTTAATCATAGTCTTTTTCAGCTTTAACGTGAAGCTACTTTCTGACATTTACCAAATAACTTCAGCTCCTGAAAGATATTAATATGTTTTATAATGCATTTTGTCATCTCAGTAGAAGATTCTGAATAAAATTGGTCAGTTTCAAAGCCTGAAAGAAATTAGTTCTAAGTTATTTCCTCGTGCCTGAAATTGCAAACATCAGATTCCATTACAAGTGGCTGGAGCTGGTAGAGCTGATTCCTGTCTTTCCTCAGTGTTGGTATGCCAGAAGTCTTTTTGCAGGGCATAGCTTTAAGTGACCCTGAGCCATCCTAAGATGTTGGGACACTCTAATCTGTTCTGAGCATCTCCAACACAGCAAATCCTACAGATACCATCATTAGCTGCTACAGAAATGATCATGAGCAGGACAAATGCAATACCTGCTCTCACAGAGCTTCTGATATCATGGAGACAGCACACCAGTAAGTAAATGCAAGCTGTGAATAATTACTGTGGAGATTGTTCCACAATTATTGCTGCATCACAAACTACCCCCAAGCTTAATGGTTTAAAACACCTGTTTTACTATGTCTCATGGACCCTATGGATCAAGAATTCAGTCGGGGTCTGGCCACATGGTTCTTTACTCCTTATGGAGTAACTGACATCATTTAGTGGAATGCAACTGGTCAACTGGGGTTTCCATCCATATCCAGCCTGGTGGTCTAAGAGTGGTTGAATTTCTTTCACTGTGGCCAGGTTCCCCAAATCAAGCATTGTGAGAAAATTAAGTGGAACCTTTGTGACTTTTTGCATCTAATGTGGGATGTCACAGAACAAAGTTTTTAGCAAATTCTTTAGTTGCAAGTGAGTTAAAAGGTCAGCCTAGATTCAAGAGGAGAGAATTGGACTTCATTTCTTTTCATAGGAATGGCAAGTTCACATTCCAAACAGCTATGGGAAGGCAGATTTTTTTATGGTACAAGGAGACTTTATAGAGCTAAAGGTAAGAAGGAGCTGATAGTTCAAAAAGTAGTGAGTAGGAAGAAAGCAGTGTATTCCCTAGACAGAGTAATTACTTCTTGCCAAGATCTTAAGATGGAAAGGAATTTTCCACATTTCAGGAACAAGAAGAATGATAAGAAGGAAGGATCTGGAGGAAAAGGAAAAGGAGGGAGAAGAGGAGACCAGTGTAGCTGAAACAGAAGGCAAAGGGAAAGGTATTTGAATGAAGTTTCAAAGATCAGGTAACATCTTGAAAGTTAAAGACATTTGGATACAATACTAAGAGTAATAGAAGTCAGACTTTTAAGCAAGGAAAAACATAACTAATGTTTTACATGTGTCTTTCTGAATGAATGGGAGGGGTCAAGTCCGGCCTTGCAGTGTCCAAGCTGGAGATGAATGTGGCCTGAATTAGACAGATCAGAGTTCTATTTATAACCATAATTGACAAACCTTTTTCGTGGATTGAACATGAAGGGGCTGAGCGCTTTCAGGTGTATTCATGTCTGGGGTTACTGCAGTGGGCCACCACAAACCTCTACAGAGATTTATTCTCTCTCAGTTCTAGAGGCCAGAAGTCTGAGATCAAGACATCCCCTGGGCTACACTCTCTCTGAAAACTGAAGAGGAGAATCTGTTCTGTGTCTTTCTCTTGGCTTCTGGAAACCCTTTGCAGCTCCTGACTTGTAAATATGCCACTCCAGCCTCTTTCTCCATCATTAGAAGACATTTTCCCAGTGTGTCTGTTTCTCTTTTCTGCCCTTCTTATAAGGCACCAGTCACTTTGCTTGCATCTGCAAGAGTCTATATTCCAACAAGGTCATATCTGTAGGCATCTATGTTTCTGTGAGGGCACAATTCAACCCACAGTATGAAGGAATGAGGAATAATCCAGGCTGCCTTTCAGGTTCCCTGGGAAAATACCTAGGGAATAGTAGTGGATGCTGTTGAAGCAAAGGCAAGATGAAGAAATAAGCGGGGAGTCGAGTGTTCTGTTTTAGATGAGTTAAGTTGCAGTGGGCCATGAGATGTCAGGTAGAGCTGTCAAGCAGGCAGCTGGATGTGCAAGCCTGGAAGTTCCAGAAGGAAAATCTGCAAGGGCTATAGGGTGGGAACTGGACCCTGCTGAGTGGCAA